TCGGAAGGAAGGTTGGGCAATCCTACTTCCGTAGTGATACTGCCTCAGAAACCCAAGGAGGGGTCACTATGAGTCGGGGCCAACTCGACGGCACACAACAACAACAACAGCAGGCTGTATAATATGTTTTAAAATCAGGAAGTGTGCATCCTACTTTGTTCTTCTCTTTCAACATTGCTTTAGCTATTTGGAGCCTCTTGCCATTCCATATATAGTTGAGGACTGTTTTTTTCCATTTCTGTAAAGAAGGCCATTGGAATTTTGATCAGGATTGCATTGAATCTATAGATCGCTTTGGGTAGTACTGATGTCCTAACAGTATTCAGTCTTCCAATCTATGAACATGGAACATATTTTCATTTATTTAAGTCTTCTTTAATCTCTTTCAGCAATATTTTACAATTTTTATTGTATAAGTCCTTCACATTCTTTATTAAATTTATTCCTAGATATTTTATTCTTTTAGATGTTACTGTAAATGTAATTGTTTTCCTAATTTCCCTTTTAGATTTCTCATTGCTCATGTATAGAGAGTCCACTGATTTTTGTTTGTTAACATTATACCCTGAAACTTTACTAACTTCCTGTATTAGCTATAGAAGCTTATTGTGGATGCTTCGGGAATTTCTGTATATAGGCTCACGTCATCTGCAAATAAAGATAATGTCACTTCTTCTTTTCTAATCTGGATACCTTTTATTTCTTTTTCTTATCTTATTACTCTAGCTAGGACTTCTAATACAATTGCATAGCAATGATGAGAGTGGTTACCCTTGTCTTAGTCCTGAATTCAAGGGGAAAGCTGTCAGTCTTTCTCCATTAAGTAAAATGTTGGCTGTTGGCTTTTCAAATATGGCCTGAATCATATCTATTCTAATCTTATTTAGGGTTTTTATTAAGAAAGGGTGTTGGATTTTATCATATGCTTTTTTCTGCATCCATAGAGATAACCATGTGGTTCTTTTTCTTGCATTCCTGGAAAAAAAATCCCACTTGGTCATGGTGTATGACTCTTTTCATATGCTGTTGGAGTCTATTCACTAGTATTTTGTTGAGGGTTTTTGTATCTATATTCATAATGGAGATTGGCTTGCAGGTTTCTTTTCTTGTAGTATCTTTGTCTGGTTTTGGTATTAGGGTTATGTTTGCTTCATAGAATGAATTTGAGTATTCTTTATCTTTTGGAAGAGTATGAATAGTATTGGTGTCAGTCTTTCTCTAAATGTTTGGTAGAATTCCCCAGTGAAGCCATCTAGACAAAACTGTTTTGCTTTAAGATATATAGAACTTCTCTTTTCAAAAATATTTTTGAAGATTTATTCTTAAAGACTTAAAGAATTTTACAAAAAAAAAATTTCATTTCGATGACTATGTCTAGTAAAGATGTTTGCCAAAACATTCAACTAATGAAAAAGAAGTAGCATTCAGCTTTTGGAAAAATGGTTGTTTTAACTATTACAGTAGAAGATTGTTTATCAGGAAAGTGAAACACATGAAGCCTTCCAAAAAATGGAATTATTCTGAAATGATTTTTATAAATCACACTTTTACAACAAAAGAATGATTTGCCCCATTGCCTTTAAGTGCTACTTTGCTGCTATGGCACCCCAATTCACAAGACAGGTGTGTTGGTAACTTCACTGCTCTCTTGCTGTTAACCCATTAGTTTTGACTGTTTTTGATTCATTGGCTTTGGAAGACGAAACAGTCTTAAAATACTAAATTATAGTTACGTAAACTTATAGCATAAAGAGCTCTGGTGGCATAGTGCCTAAGATATTTGACTGGTAACCAGAAGGTTGCCGATTCAAACCCACCAGCCACTCTGTGGAAGGAAGACTGGGCAATATACTTCCATAAAGATTTACCGCCGTGGAAACCCAGTGGGGGTCGCTATGAGTTGGAATCAACTCAATGGCAGTGAGTTTATTTATTTATTTTAGTTTAAACTTATAGTATGTATTTTAAAATTCAAATTCAAATAAATGAAAGCCCCCAAGGAATGTGTGACTGTTCAGATACTGAGACTGAAGCAAGTCTTTTTTGGTTATCATGCTCTTTGAAGTTAAGATCTGTAAATTGTGGATATATCACTAATCTCAACTAGGTTAGATTCCAGACATCCTGTTCAATAGGTACCTAATTTTATAATTTAAATTTATTGTTTATCCTTAATAAGAGAATGAAAAAAAAAAGTAGTACGAGGGAAACCTAGCCATCTTTTGAAAACCTTCGTATTTATCAACTTGTGAACATTATTTATACACATGTTCCCAAATAAGAGGAAGTGATTTTAAAATGAGATACTTTATAAAGAGACATTGTTGTTGTTATTTGCTGTCGAGTTGGCCCTGACTCATAGTGACCCCTCCTTGGTTTCCGAGGCAGTATCACTATGGCAGTAGCTTGCCCAACCTTCCTTCCGAGGAGTGGCTGACGGGTTTGAACCACCAGCCTTCTTGTTAGTGGTCAAATGCCTTAGCCACTATGCTACCAGAGCTCCTTTATAAAGAGACAAGTGCATTTAATTAGGGTAAGTGTGAAACCAAGGGAGCCCTGGTGGTATAGTGGTTAATGTGCCCAGCTGCTAGCTGTAATGTTGGCAGTTTGAACCTACCAGCCACTCTGCATGGGAGAAAGATATGGCAGTCTGATTCCATAAAGCTTTACAGCTTTAGTAACCCTATGAGGCAGTCCTACTCTGTCCTATAGGGTTGCTATGAGTTAGAATCGATTCGATTAGTTTATGAAATCAATCTTCTGGCAGATGACCTGTTTTTTGAAATGTGGATACTCTTTTAGGAGGACTTATTTGAAGAGCTTCGTGGGATGAGTGCCTTTAAGGATTTCATTCTAAGCAGAGCCTACAGGATGCCAACTGTGAGTAAAGGGTCATTTTGGTGGAGGGTCTTCACAGGTCACTGTTATTCTTGGCACCCTGACAAAATCAAAACATGGATGACTCAGTCCCCTGCCTGAAATGATGTGCCTTCTTCCAAACAAGGGCCCCTATGGAGTATGGAATTTGCCTTTTTATTCTACCTGTTTCCCTATTGTCAGAGGTGCTATCTCCCTGCCCATGTTTGACCCTCCCTTGGGTTTGGCTTAATGAGACCAAAGTGAAGGGGTCTATGTGATGTAGGGGGTGTGCATTGCAAATTCTGTTACTGAAACACTAAATCCTCAAGGAAGTCTTTAAGTCTCCTTTACCTCCATGTCTAAAGACAAAGCTGTAGTTTGGGTCAGGCAACATGGAGTTGAGATTTGCAGATTGGTCATACTATGAGCAGACTTTGTAGTACAGGTGAAAACAGACCTAGGCAAAAATTCACTTCCAGTGGGGTCTGTCAGTGTCTTCTCTCTCTTGTACGTTTTCTTTTTCCCTCTTCTGGTTTCCCCTCCTTTAACTTGTATAGCCTTGGAAACCCTGTGGAGTATTCTGTCTTGTAGGGTTGCTATGAGTCGAATCATCTCAATGGCAGTGGGTTTTTTTTTTTTTTTTTTTAACTTGTAAAGCTGACTCCCACTCACAACAGGGTGACGTGAGAGATTGGTGAGTGGGCCATTTAGCAGGAGAGTTTGCAGTCTGGAGTTATGCACCCAGGCCAGCACTGTCACCACAGCAGGAAACTAGATAGGCATCTGGGGCCCAAGTCATAGCTAATAATAACTTGTGCATTTGCCCCTTGCCTTCTGCGTGCACATCCCTCAGGATCTTAATGGGGGGGGTGGGTAGAGCCAACACAGGCAGCTAGTCAAAAATTCCTGGAACTGGCAGTCTGGGTTTCTCTTTTTCCAAGAGTAATAGAACTAACCATAGCTTATGCTTAGTGGCAAGTAGAAATATTGACCAAATCCAGACTGGTTTCAAAGTTAAACCAGGTAATACATAAGCAAGTCTAGAGCTTGAGGTGCAGACAGGATTAGAAGACTTCATTATAGAATAGGGAGAGCAGACTTGTTAGATTTTCTAAAAATATAATAACTACCTAGTATGCATATAAGATTCACATGTTGTTGTTGTTGTTAAGTGCCATCAAGTTGGCTCTGACTCATAGCAACCCCATGTACAACAGAATGAAACACTACTCAGTCCTGTGCCAGTCTCACAAGCCTTGCTATACAACTGAGCCCATCATTGCAGCCACTGTGTCACTCCATCTTGTTGAGGATCTTTCCCTTTTTCACTGACCCTCCACCCTACCAAGCATGACATCCTTCTCCAGGGAATGGTCCCTTCTGACAACATGACCAAAGTAGGTGAAATGAAGTCTAGCCATTCTCACTTCCAAGGAGCATTCTGGCTGCACTTCCTCCAGGACAGATTTGTTCGTTTTTCTGGCAGTCCACGGTACTTTCTATGTTCTTTGCCAACACCACAACTCAAAAGCATCAACTCTTCTTAGGTCTTCCTTACTCATTATCAACTTTCACATGCATATGAGGTGATTGAAAATACCATGGCTTGGGTTAGGAGCACCTTAGTCTTCAAAGAGACATCTTTGCTCTCCAGCACTTTAAAAAGGTCTTGTGCAACAGATTTGCCCAGTGGAATACGTCATCTGATTTCTTGACTGCTGCTTTCCGTTGGCGTTAATTGTGGAACCAAGTAATATGAAATCTTTGACAAGGTATAATCCATACTACAGACTGTAGTCTTTAAACTTCATCAGTGAGTGCTTCAAGTCATCTTCACTTTCAGCAAGCAAAGTTGTGTCATCTGCATATTGCAGGTTGTTAATGACTCTTCCTCCAATCCTGATGCCATGTTCTTCTTCATATAGTCCAGTTTATCAGATTATTTGCTCAGCATACAGATTGAATAAGTATGGTGAAAGGATACAACCCTGATACACACCATTCCTGATTTTAAAACATGAAGTATTCCCTTGTTTTGTTTGAATGACAGCTTCCTGGTCTATGTATAGGCTCCTCATGAGCACAATGAAGTGTTCTGTAATTCCCATTCTTCTCAATGTTATCCAAAATATGTTATGATCAACACAGTTGGATGCTTTTGCATAGTCAATGAAACACAAGTAAACATCTTTCTGTTATTCTTTGCTTTCAGCCAAGATCCATCTGACATTAGCAATGATATCCCTTGTTCCATGTCCTCTTCTGAATCCAGTGCAGTGAATCTATTATAATAAATGTGATATATATTTGTGTGTGTATATGTGTATGTGTATATGCTGTACGATATTATTTATTTAAATATTCATCCTCTTTTTCTCTCATAATGCACTGCACACTATGTCTATACATTCATTCATATTTGTTACATGAGCACACATACTTATATATAAATTCCAGTATCTACATTATGAATTATCCACTGCTTCATTCTGTCTGCTACACAGATAAGTCCCAGGCCGTCAGCAGTAGAGGTAAGCAATATAAGGCTGTGTTGAGATGAGCTGGACCAGGCTTGGACACAGGCTTAGAAACAAGTGTGAAATGGTTCTGGCATTTCTGATTTTGTACAGCTACTTTTCAAAGACCAACATCTATTGTGATCAAATTATCCACATGTGATTTTGTGTAGGACACAGCTGTATATCAGAGTGTAAGATTGCAAATTTGGGTATGGTAGTGGTGGTGGTGAGGTGGAGAGAATTGTACAATTTTTGTATGTTAACCTAATGAAGATATTCTCATCTTTATCTAGTTCCTTGAGAAGATGTATATCAAGAAAGAATGTAAACATGAGTGTAATAAGACTCCTCTAAAACAATCAACAAAAGCTAACTGAAGCATAGAAGAATCTTAGGAAGATGATGGTTAGACAGTTTTTTATTTACTACATACTGACTACTTCTCTTTCTCATTTTAAACATCAAACTGAATTTACATTGAGT